GTGCCCCACAGATGCGCGTGGCAGCCATGAGTCTGGGGCTGGTGTCATGCCCAGGCAATGCCAAGCCATGCTGGGGTCATCTCTTCTGAAGGGGTCCTCGCAGTGAAGCCTGTTCAGCAGCAGTGGGGCAGCTCTTCATGCTGTGAGCCAGGGGACAGGCAGCAAGGGCGGGTGAAAGAAGACTTGGCGGGGCTAGGCACGTTCTGGAGTAGGGACAGATCCTGCCTTTTGGAAAGAGAAGCTGTGCTTTCTCCAAATATCTCCTAGGAGCCAGCCAAGCTCTATTACCTTTCGGTGTCTGTTCCACATAGCTGGGTTTCTCCTCCATGCTCCAGGAACCATGAGTGGAGATCGCCTGTTGTCTTAAATCTACAGAAGAGCACAGGAGTGTCCCTCCCAACCCTGGCCTCTTGCTTCCAGCAACACTGGGTGCCCTCTCCCATAGGACAGGCCCACAGCCATGGCTCAGGGCATCTTTTAGATGACCTTCCAGCCAAGCCTGTGTGGCTTTTGCTGTGCTTGCAAGCCCATCACACAACAGGCTTTCGGGGAAAGTGCTTCTGCCTTTCAGTTTCAGTGTCACCACTCTCCTTCCTGTCTTCATTTAGTTGCCATGTGATGGAGCGGGATGTCCCCAGTGCTGTCCCCAAGCCCACGCTGTCCCTCCACCTTCCTCTCCCAGCCAAGCAGGTGAGGTTTTGCCTCACCAGTTTTCCTGCTCACCCCAGAACCTGCAACACCCTTGGCCCCACGCAGAAGGGCCCAACTCCATGAGCAAGCTGCAGCTCTGGCTGTTGGTACACGGGGCCCATGGCAGCAAACCCAACCCCAAGACCCTCACCAGAGAGGTCCAGGTGCAAGCAAGTACTCACAGTGGAAGCTCAATCCGACGAGGATGGTTTGTGTCAGCAGGAGCAGCAAGGAGAGGGAAGCCAGGGTGGACAAGGAGAGGAAAGCCAGGCTGAGGGCTGCTGAGCCCCACGGCAGCCACACTGGCTGCTGAGGAGCTGAGAAAGGGAGTTAACCTGGGTCCTGGAGGCTTGGTGGGAACAGTGAGGACCCCTCAGCCAGGAGAGGTCTGTGAAGTCTGACCAGGGTCTCAGGAGGCAGAAGGAGAGCCCCGGAAAACTGAGGGAGAGCCCATTTGCAGCACCATGACCATCCCAGAAGTTGTCTCCCTGCAGACAGCACTTGGCATGGGGTGGGGAGAGCAAAGCAGGAGGTGTCTGTATGTGGTGTGGCACTGGGGTGCAGTGGGCATGCCATGCCCTTGAGCCTCTCCTGCCCCCCACCCCTGAGAGCAAGCAGTCTGTATCGGCACTGGAGGGAAGCTGTTTGGGAGAGGATGCTCGAGAGGGGTGAGTGGAAGGAACAGCGCTAAGGGAGTGTCCCTGAAGAGGTCAAGGAGCTGCAGGAGGTCAGGAGACCCACCAAGAGAGCTGAGGTGCAAGGGGCAGGGGGCAGCATGCCATTACCTGGTGCTGGGGGCAAGCGCAGATCAGCGTATGTGACCCCCTCGTCCATCCCTCCCTCAGTCTCTTGCTCTGTGCTCCACTGGGGAAGTGCAAACCCCTCTCAGCCCTCCTTGGCAGCTGGGTGTGATGCAAAATGGAAAGTGTCACTTCCTGGCAGGGCCCCAGGAGGCACCATCTGGGCCATAGTCCTGGGGAGTCACGGTGCTGCCAGTGACCAGGGTGAGGGGAGCCCTGGCAATGTGGCACTGTGGCGTTCCCACATGAGGGAACCCCGCACCCCCGCTCTCAGGGCAGTGAGGGGTGGGCATGGCTGCTAGCTCAGACATGGCGCCAGGGCTGGGCTGGGCAGCTGCATCGAGGCTGCTTTCCCTCCCCTGACCCCTCGGTGATCAGCAGATCCATCGTAGGGTCTGTGCAGGGGACCTGGGCATCCCTGGGGAAGCAGAACATGGGGCCCTGCCTCCACCCCCAGGTTCCGCACTCTCCAAGCAGCAAGGCCACAGAGTGTTTGATCAGATGTGATTTCTGCTGCCTATTTTTTGTACGAGGCTGACACTGAATCTCAGCTCCGAAAAGCAAGGGGTGCACCTTCCTTTCCCCTTCCCGAGCCTGGAAGGCTGCCATGGTCACCAGGAGGTCTGTTTTCTTATTATAATGCTATCATAACGAGCAAAGTTCATTCAAAGTTTGTGATTTATTCATCAATGCTGAGACAGAGTTGTGATCAGTCTCCCTTGACGGTGGTGATGTGGTTTATCTTAGCAGTTCTGGCTACCCCAGATAAGGGGGAATGTCACAGGAGACCTTGTACCACACAGTTCTGCATCCCCCAGATAACGGAGAACGGCTCAGCACACTTTGTACCACGCAGCTCTCCATCCCGGAGTGTCTGCACCTTTGT